TTCCCAGTATTAAAGAGGCAATCCGGAAGCGAAGAGAACCATTCGCAATTCATCATAGAGCACCATGGCAATACCACCAATGCAGGACAGGAGGAGAGCACCATCCACATTAGGGGGGGGGGGGGGGGGGGGGGGGGGGGGGGGGGGGGGCTTAAGCTCAGAATAGATGGACCATCAGAATAATATTTCAGAATATGAATGACAGCGCATACAATATTGACTTGTCAGGGTACTACAACGTTTCTGCTACATTCAATATCGTGTACCTGACTTCATACTTGGAGGACCTAGAAGCTTCAATGGATGGGTCAAAGCTCCCCCAACCCCGAGAGGCTGACGCCGGCTGTGAGAGGGGGCTGATTGAACTGACTGTGAAAGAGTTTCAGCCCAAACCCTGTCAGACCGACCAACCCCAATAGGGGTGGGAATTGTCGCTCCACCATGCTCCCCCTTTCCTTTTATGTTTCCCTCCTATTCTTCCTTCATTTTCTATTACTATCCTTCTCACTATCTTGGCCATTCTATGACCTTCCTTTTCTTTTTTTCTTTCTTATTCTCATCCTCACCTATTCTATTTACTAATCCTATTTTATATATGTATATATATATATTAAAAGGAATGGCCTGAGGCTATTATACGAGACTCAGTCATCCCCGATGCGCCTAACAATTCGAGTACCACACCCTCCACCTGGAGGAATCGAACCCCAGACCAAAGGGGACTTACAACAAACGAGTAAATGTCCGAGCAACTGATCTGAGTACGCGGCGCATATATATATATCTACTTGATGTCTTTCTAATGCATCAACAATGGTTATTTAATATCCCCTTTTCTCTTTACGTGTTTTTCTGCTTACTATACCAGCAGATGTAGCATTATAAATTGTATTGTTACTTTTGCTACTATCAAGATAAATCTGACGCCTTCCTCTGTTCCCACCTACAAATAAGGGATATTTTAAGAAATGAACGTCTTTTTTCATAGCAGGGTTGAGGGAAAGAAAAGGAAAGGTGATTTCACTATATTTCTGACCGGGAACAGTACCTATCACAAGAATACTTCTTTTATTAGGATAATAAAACTGAAAAGAAAGCTCGCCCATCTTTTCTTTCATTTTGGGATAAATAGGATCAATGGAGCTTATTCGGCTTATTCGAACCCCTCGGGTAAAATAAGAACAGCTCCTACATTCAAAGCCTTTATTTTATCATTAGCAAGAACTTGTTGCTGTTGCATATCATAAGGAATTCGAAAAACTGCTTCAAATATAGTATTAGGAAGTACAGTTTGCGGAACTTCAATATCCGTGGGCTTATTAGCTAAATCGCAATTGGCACATACAATTCGACCAATTGCATCTCATGGATTTTCATAAACCTGCTGCGCAAAAATGAGATATGCATTTGAAATAGATGCTTGAGTTGTTACATATATCATGATCGATACATAAATGGATCGAGTCGTCTATTATTTTACCTAACAAAAAGTATTTCTATTTTGCATGGTCCAATCATTGCTCCCCAGAATTTCTATAATAAATTTGATAGGTAGCTAGTAGAATTTCCTATCCACAAGTTTGTCATTGTATTGATTATACTGAAATAATTGCACTAAAGGAATATGGTATGAATACCTTCAATTGAAAAGGTAGAAGTATAAAGAATAAGTAAGATGAAAAATGATTTTTTTATAAACAAAGAAAGGTTTTGATTTTATTGATATCAAAAGATCTAATAAATTATTCATTCATTGAATGATAAATTAATACAAGCGAATGAAATACACGATTTAAAAAATAAAAAATCTAATATTTCACAATTGTATCTAAAATCACTGGAAAAGTAGAAACTAGACTAGACATAATCTGATCATTCTGAGTCAATCCAAAATCACTATAGATTAAACCAATCATTAGTTCTCAACCATGGGTCGAGTGAAATTCAATCCATAATCAGTAACTAAAAGAATCGAAAAAGCTTTGATTGTATCACTTGAGTTATAGAAAAAGCTTTGATTGTATCTAAAATCAGCAACTATGATGCTCTCGCTGCTGCAGGTCTCATATAGCGGTCGAGTGACGAATCCGAAGGCCTTTTTCATTCTAGGTCATGCGAAGGGGGCCAGTCCAAGATCGTACAGTTCTTTTGAAAAGACAACAGACGCTCTCAACGGTTAGGCGCCACTCTCTTTCTGAGTTCTTCCAGCTTCTTCATTCTTTCGTGCCGCGGTTAACGAAAAGAAAAAAAAAGAAGAGTAGCGCGCTAGCGCGGCTCGCTTCGCTTTTCGACGCTCCTAAGCAGCTTCACTTCAAAGCCAGCAAACTCCAGCATCAAAGCCGTAGCTAGCGCCTTGAGTTTTGAAGCTTCCAAATGAAGTACTAGCGCCCAAAAACGCACTGTCGAAGCCTACGTTTGCTGCTCCCTTTCTCGCTTCCGAGATTGAGACTGGAAAAAAAAAAAAGAGGAATCCGACAGCCATTCCTCATGCTGAACAGGCTATGGATGACCCGGATCTCGATTGTTGGAGTTTGGTTTACCTTTACCAAAGGTAGATTTGAATGCTTTGCAAGAGTTTATTGACCCGAAGTTCCAACCCCCAAGAATTTAAAATGAAACGTTCTTCCTTACCCAAAAAAAAATAACCACTTAGAATAGTGAAACATATTAGATTTGTAGAGAAATGCAAAATGATATGGAAATGAGATTCATTTTGTTCTTGGACCAATCGGGACCAATCGTATTGTTTCCTCGTATTGTTTCCTTGTGCATTCCTATATGAAGCCTTTGCATATGTGTCTCCAAGTACTCCTTTATCATCTCGTCCAAAAGAAATAGCTCTTCTAATTTTATAATTTTTTCTAGAACATTTTTCTCTTGAATATAATTCAAAGGGATTTCGAATTGCCTAGCATTCCACCAATTAATAACCCAAGTTTCTAGACATTTCTTAAATGAGGGAGAAACCAACTAAGGCATAAAGATTATAGACACGAGATATGGAAATGAAGCCAATGTTTTCTTTTTTTTCATTTTGTATCCGTGATGTGAATTGTTAATGAACATGTTTCATTGGTGGATTATGACTGAGATTTCTATGAAATACGAAGTATATAACAAGAGCCTATAACTCTAACAAGAATAAAGTATTAAGCCTATGAATCTTTTCCTATATTGGTTCACAAATCTTCTTACTCCCATATTCACATTTTTACCAAAGAAAAGTTGACATTTATTAAAGTTGAAAGACATACCAAAAATTTTTTGGAATTTTAAAATAAGTTTATAATGCTACATCTGTTGGTATAGTTAGCACAATAGCACGTAAAGAAGAAGTAGTATATAAAATAACCATAGTTGATGCATCAAAAGCATCAAAAGAAAACTCTCATATATATATCAGAAGGTTAGTTGAAAGGCAGCTTCGGCGTAAGTCTCCTCTACCCCGTGTTCAAATCCCAGATGGGTTAAGTTAGCACATATGGGGGATCCGTACGTAGAGCAAAGAATGATATGTCCGCCCTAAATGCCGATTCCTTTTAATATATATATATATATTATAGTGTGTGTGTGTCTTAGTCTGGCACATTGGTTGCGAACTTTGGTGTAAGTCCCTGGGGTCGGGGGTTCAATCCCTATGAAGGATCGAATTGCAGACCTTCTAGAAGGGGAGTCCGCCCCTCGGTCAGACTATGGGGTTGATCAACGATCAACCTTTTTAAAATATGTGTGTGTGTGCGCGCGCTTGTATAGGTTAGAGAGCTTCAATTGTTTTTTTTAGTTCAGAATTCCACTGTCGGCATTTTCCCCTTCTGATGGCTGTATCCGACAATTAGAAGGTGCTTTGGTTGTAGCTCGTCCGAGGTGGAGACTATCACGGTCATTCTCCCGCCTTCCTGCCGCCCCCCAGTCAACACCAACAACCCAACAAGCCGACAACTCCTCCAATAAAGCCCCGGCAAGCTGTTGACCCCTCCAATTGCTATCATCAGGCCGCTGCCCCCTTTAGCAACTCCAGCAGACTGCTGACCCGCTTCCACCACATCAGCCACTGATTGTCTTCCATCTCCCACAGATCTCAGTTGTTGCTGACTCTCTCCTACGTTCTCCATCATACTACCAGTCAGATCCTCTCCCTTCAGAGCAGCTGCCCACACTATCGCTTCCTCCGATCGCCTTCCAGCAACCCGCCAACCACTTCCAACGCCTGTCCAGCTGCTGTCAACTTCTTCTAAACTTTCCCAGTGGGCAGCCACCCTCCAGCAGGTCGATTGTCATCTACAGCCCTTTTAGCAGCCCACCATCACCTGCAGATCCACTCTGACGCACC